GCCGCGACTTGAAACGAATATGAAGCAAATAAATAGAGTCCGTGCGTAAGTTGACAAGTTGCCACATAACATTTTCATTGGTTCATGAGTCTGCAAGTTTCGGACGACAATATTTGTTCGACATAACCAACTAAGCCCTAGGAGTGTAAGGATCCATCGGATACCTCTGTCTCTTCGGATTTATAGGAAACACATTAGGAGTGTAGCCAACGTCGATGTGGTCGTGTTGCGGGTGCGTACGGCTCGTACCCTGTAAGTATATGATATACACGATTACTTATAATCTTTATGATCGTTAGTTCATGGAGCCTACGTATTTAAAGAAACTACCTTTGTTACTACCTGTGAGGCTCCTTGGGTACCAAGCGGGGCACCACCTAGCTGAGACATGCCGATCTCATCCTGCGGCCAATCGTCCCATTGGTGGTGTTGTATGTGGAAGCCCGGGGGGTCGTCGTGGTCGTCGTTGTCATCGTCGTCCTCGTCATCCTTGTTTGCAGGGTCCTTCCTAGCGCTATGATGTGGTGGTGTACGCACTGCAGAAGCGGCACCTGTCACCACCTGAGAAGAGCCGGCCGGTGTCCTCAAAGTGCCAGAAGACGTGCCATCTGACCGCGCCAGGTAATCGGGTTCCACCCAAGGAGTGTCCATGTAGCTCAACTTCTGAGCTAGCTTCCTGCAGCTCTTCTTCACATTCTGCATAAATAGACGTTAAAGTTAGTGCATTTTCCAAACGCATATACACTAAAGAAATATTTTCGGAACAGACAAGTTTATGTTTACCTCCACAAAAGTCTCGAGAACGCCTGGCCCCTGCCCTCTAGACTCTTGAAGCCAAAACGCTGCTTCGTTGGACAGCCTTGACAATTATGTCGCCTGGGTATAGGAACGCGGTTGGACAGTTTTAGTACACATACTTAATACCAAATGGATAACAAATTGTACCATTCGAGTATCTTACCACATATCTTTGAAGCGGGGCTCTCTGTAGTTGTGTGTCGTCCCTAGTGGCAACGTCGTACACATCTTTGATCACATCTTCCTCGTCATCCTCGTCAATCGCCTCCTCAGTGTATGGGGCCTTGATATGTGTCCTCGTAGACCTATGGAGCCACCGCAGGTACTCATCGAAGGTGTGCTGGTCGTTTAGGGGACCTGCATCGACTGGCTGCTGGTCCCTGGTCTGCCACAACTGGATGTACGCGTTGTGTGTCACGCGCCAATCCTTGGTCTTGTACCTCTTTCTGCGATCATACCTGCAATAAAACGATTGTTAGTTGTACCATACACACCTCTGAATTGTAGCTTTGTTATTAATCGATAACGCACCCATGCAATTTTTGGTTGGTGGAGTAAAGCGGTGGTGGGTAGCCTGTCATTCTTCCAAACTGCCTGCAAACCTTGATGGGCAAGTGAATCTCGACCACGTAGAAGAAAATAAGAGGGACGTTGCAGCGATACTCGTCTGACTCATCCCTAGTGACAGGACTTAGATAATACTGGAGCTCTGGAGCATCCCAAGGACACCAATGCACATCAATATTTCGTAATTGAGTTAGGTTGTGATATAGTGTACATCGAACAAGACACATGTATGATAGTAAAGAGAGCGTAACATGGTGCTGTGTCAAGACGTCGAGACAGTTTGTGTACTCCCTGTACTTACGCCTCATATTCCCTCTAACTAACTCTGCTTGCGTCTAGATATACAGAGCTATAGGGAGTGTATCTTGCCCGTTCCAATGCTGCATCAAACACGATAATGAATTAGCCATTAATAATTTGATCATATGTAACTGTCTCGAACAATATAGTGAACCGAAATACTTACCGATAAACCAGTAGCAAGGGGCCTCCCAACGGGCCATCGTTCCCAATACCAAACCCGGAGTAGGTAGGAGCAACCCCCAAGGTTCGCATACCCTGAGGTGCGACGGCAGGCAACACATAGCTGTCGATACGTCCATGCCAGGACTACACTGCCCCAGCTGTATGCCACTATGTTATCCCACGGTTGAGTAGTATGTCAAGAAAGATCCAGCTGATGGTGTTGCCCGAGGCGTCTGGGAATAGGAAAGCACCAAGGAAATGCCAGAGCTACACTCTAGCGAACCTATCGATCTGAGCCTCATCAGCCTGTGAAGTCCAAGTAATCAAACACCGGAACTTTTCCTGAAATTTACCAAAGAAAATGAGACCCGATGGCTGCAGAAAAGCAATGCAAGTATTAAATAGGATAGAATTGCTCACTTATTTTTCTTGGAAACCTCGTCGTCCGATGGAAGAAAGTTAGTGAACTGAGCCACCAGCTCCCTCCACTGATCGTTGTCAACTATACCTGTCACTGAAAGTTCCCCCAACCGAAGGCCAAAGATAGCCTTCACGCCCTGCATGGTCAAGGTCATCTCGCCGTAAGGTAGGTAGAACATGTTGGTCTCAGGCCTCCACCTGTTATAAAAATAGAATGACTGTTAGTTGCTTCAAATTTGTTATAAGAATGTTTACGTACAATGAAGGCACTCGCACCTGTCTACAGCTGCAGTAAGTAGTGCTGGGTCAAAGGGTGGAAGACCATAGTGGACAACACGGATAAGCTCGAGGAAGCCGGCACGCTGTATGTACGACGCGTAACGCTCGTCCCACTGGTGCACCCTGGTGTGCGTGTGGGGCCTCAAAGGAGGCAAGGGCACCTCTGCATCGGTGTCAGTCAAGAAGTGTGCTCGGTGCGGCTAGTCGTACTCCACCTCAAGAAGGGGGTACAACGGGTGCTACGTGGGAGGGGTCATCCTGTTACAAATTGATAAACAAATAGTTAGAGTATTCAAATTAACAATATTCAAATTAAAATTATGTAGCATTGCAAAATTTGAACTATTTGTTATGCAATAGGAACACAATATGAAAACACATGTATATATTCAAAGTAACATTAAAAGACATATTAAACAACTTCACTAGGAAAATATGCAACTTCTATGTATTCAAACGGACACAAACGTCATTAAAGCTAGAAGGTTTATCAAACCATTCCAAATTGCCATATAACACACTACTAAGTACCGACACTTGAAAACTAGTATCTATACTGATAACTTTTACTACTATAAACTAACTAAATAATAAATTCCTAATCAATCTCTAAACCCAAAGGCCTAACTAACAGTAACATAAACCCTAACTACCTAACCAAACCTTAACTGTACTACAACACACAACCTAAACCCTAAAAACTACCTACCTAAATAAACAAATTCACTAACCTAACTATACTAAATCACTAACCCTAACTATCCTAAATCACTAACCCTAACTAAAATAACATTCATAATAACAAGAAATCGAGAGAGTGAGCTACCTTGATATGAGCACAAGGAGATGGCCGCGGCTGGCGCAGCGGCGGCGGCGCTGCCGGTTGACGGCGGCGGCGCGGCGACGCTGGGCGGGCGGGGGCGCAGGCATGCGCTGGGGTCGAGGGCGGGCGCAGTGGGGGCGTCGTGGGCTTTAATTGGGCCTTGCCGCGCCACCAGCGATGGCGCGTCACAGCCGCGCCAAGATGAGTGGCGCGGTAGACCCTGCCACGTCGACGCCACGTCTTCCTCCCGCCGCGCCGCCATGCATGGCACGGTACAGGCGTTTCGCCGCGCTATGGCAATAGGCATGGCAAAAAATGTTAGTTTGGGAAAAAAACAAACGGTGTTAAATTTAAAATTAGTTTAAAAAAAAGTGTTAAAAAAAAAAAAAAATTCTCTTCCGATTCCTCGTACCCCAACAGGAGTTTGGGCTCGCTTCCGCGTGGTTTGAGCGCTAATTGATTGCTGGTCCGCGGATGCTTGGCGGATGACTTGCGTGCGACTGGTCCGACTGGTCGGACCGGATTCTCGTTCCGTGGGTTAGCTAACTCCGCTGAAGGTGCTAAACGTATATGTCGTACATGATCCATAAGATTTTAATTGAACGACTGCCGAAAAAGCATAGAGAAGGAAAACTACACATATGTCGTATACATGCTCTGGTGAATTACATAAATCCGCGGCATAATGCCACCAGCCAATAAGAATCCTGCGTTTGCCTACACCGATCCGCAGCACAGGCTAATCAGAGCCGTCCGATCACGCAGGAACCGACCTAATAAGTCTGTTGCACGTCTCGCGTACGTGCCCATATAAATAGCGCCCGCGTCCGCCCGGCAAATTACATCACGGTCACGGCAGAAGAGCGACCTACGACTAGGAGGCAATCATCAATGTAGCAGTTACTTTTCAGCTATAGAACAGTGTTTTTCTCTCCTAACATTTCAACATAAGTATTAGTATAAGTCAAATTTCAGCATAAGCGAACAGAGTGAGCCACTAATAGCACACACACATCTGTGAGATCGAGGTAATTAAACAGACCCACCTCCTTCGTCTTTACATATTCTCCTCATTAGAGTACTTTGATTTGTGGCTTTGTGCAGTACTAACAGATCCGGTGATCTATATTATTCTTGCTTTATTTGTTATCCATATATCTAGCTACATGTTGGCCATTGCCATGCTTTTTTTTTTGAAACTCATTGCCATGCATGCTTGGTTAGTTGTTTGTATAGTTCAACTGGCCGTTTGGACCTTGGCGGCTGTTGCTTTTATAACATGTATGTGTTTCTAGGGTTTTAATGTGTGAAATTATGGGTTGCAAACTCTAATATGATTACGTTAGACAGTAATCTATTTCTATCCCCACTCTGGCCAGAGTTTATTCATCATTTTTGTCGTACAAGAGTTTATCTGCATATATACATGTTCTCAATTTACTTTCCTACTATTACATTACATGATTAATTAGGCATATGCTATGTGTGTGACAGTAGTTCGGTGCACATTTCAATTATATTCAGGATACTGTTATATATAATAATACATGCTTATTTCTGTTCCTCAAAAGCATTTTATTTCAATTACAATATACTCATCAGGATTTATTTTGTACATGATCAGTTTACTATATATTTTGCTTGCAAGATGGCTCGTACTAAGTGTACAGCTCGTAAGTCGACCCGAGGAAAGGCACCAAGGAAGCAACTCGTTTCAAAGATATTCGTATGTAAAATTTGCATGCTAAGTATCATCAGTACTTGCGTGTTGAAAGTAGATTTAACATTGCTATGGTTTGGTGATGACCATTTATAGATTGCTGCTCGCAAGAGAGTGCCAGTAACCGGAGGAGTGAAGAAGCCTCGCCGTTACCGCCCCGGAACTGTAGCCCTTCGGTATGTACATGCAGCAAGTGCAACACACAGCTAATTTCATTTCATGGTTTTGCTTTGCTATCAGTTGTACGGTACTGCTGTGTGTTTTTCATGCAATTAACCGTGTCACAGCTGAATCTGAACCTCTTCACATTTATTTTCTTCCAGTGAAATTCGCAAGTATCAGAAGGGCACCGAGCTGCTCATTAGGAAGATGCCCTTCCATAGGCTCGTCAGGGAGATTTCCCAGTTTCACAAGGTACTACAGTTGCTAATTTGATCACTACATGCATGATCTGCATTTTTTTCCTTGTTTGTTTTGGATCTAAATAAATAAATGCAACTTCATGGCTATGTATGTATATGCACATGCGGAGTGACCTGCGTTTCCAGAACCATGCGATCCTTGCTCTGCAGGAGGCGGCAGAGGCGTATCTCGTGGGTCTCTTCGAGGACACCAACCTGTGTGCAATCCATGCAAAGAGGGTCACCATCATGCTCAAAGATGTTCATCTGGCTACCAGGATCCGTGGCGAGAGGCACTAACTGTATTGCATGCGTCGTCAATGGAGCTACCGACAACCTGCTGGCTGCTGCATACTAGTTTATTTGCGGTCTAATAGTTTGTCGAAAAGTGTTACCTTAAGTTTGTGTCAAACATTCTATATGTCGAATAACTAGCTAGTTAATTAATGCATGGTAGCCTCCTAGGTTTTCTTCTTTTGCTGGTGTATAAGATATTAAGCTTCACGTAACTGCAGTTATATCAGTCACATTTTCCTTGCTTGTTTACCTGTCCGTTCACAATTTGCTTTTACGTGAGTTCAGCTTTCGTTCCTGGCTGCTGAATTTCTTTTGAAGAAGTCGTGATACAAGTAACAATGCATAAGCGCGTCAGCTTTTGGGTTCACTCCCAGTAATTAAGGTGAAAAAAATTGGTGTCAGCTTGTGTTAACTAGCCAGTTGCGTACAACAAAGTTTTGTGTTACCAAATTCCAAGTGAAGAATGGACATCTTTGACGACGATACGATAAACTCTGGCACAAGCGCACAGCACAATCGTGGTCCTTTGGATTTACATGGGCCTCTTGATTTGATTTTGATCTACAAGTAGTGATCCACAGAAGGGCCTTTCGCAGAAAAAAGAGGTGGTCCACACCACACAAAGGGCCAGTGAGGCCGGCAAACGAAGAAGCGGCCCTGCCCACAATAGCAAAGACGGCGTTGACGTGTAGGTGCTGCAGGCCCAACCCAGTAGCAACAAACCAAGCCGCGGGCTTAGTAGGGAGGGAGAGGAGAAAGCAGCGAGCGGCGCCGGGAATGCTCTCGCCGTCACTTCCTTCACCAGGCAGGGTGCAGAAAGTGGCCTGTGAGAGAGGCGCTCAGGCGCATGAGCTAACTCAGCTTGGCCTAAGTTGTTTGGAAATGAGAAGATCGAGAAATCTTAGCGCCAGTTTGGCAGGGCTCCAGAGCAGTTGCTCGACCATAAAATGGCTCTACAGTGGATCAGAGCTCCACCAAACTGTTTGGTAGAGCTCCAGCTCTGAAATAGACTCATATATAATTACATATATAATTATTGAAACATAAAAAGAGGCTAAAATGAAAAAACACAACTTCTTCCTCCTGCAAGGCGCCGAGCACCTGTAGCGGCAAGGCGGCGTGCGCACCGCAGCAACAGGTGGCTGAGACAAAGTCCCTGTTCGCTTCTCTTATAATTCATCTTTTTAGCTTATTTTTTTTTTCAGCCGGAACAGTGTTTTTCTCTCACAACAAATCAGCCGAAACAATGTTTCGGCTTGTTTTTCAGCGAAGCGAACGGGGCTAGAGGGGCTTGAGGCGCTGGAGTGGCAAGCCACTGGGTGGCGATCACTCCTGGCCGTGTTGAGGCACCGAGTGTTGTGTATCGATATTAGGGATACCCGGAAGAAGGAGGCTAATGGCCACGAACAATTAACTCGTCCGACTCTGAGGGCGCGAGCTCCGTCTCGTTCGACCCCGAGGGTGCGGGCTCCGTCTCGCTTGACCCCGAGGCCGCGGGCTCCGTCTCGTTCAACCCCTCGAGGGGGGAGCCCGCCTCGCTCGACCCCTCGAGGGGGGATTCTGCCTCACCCAACCCTAAGGGAACAGAATCAGTCTCGGGCGAGAGCATAGGCCCCACGAGGGCCCGCACCGTCACCAACCACTACGGGTATAAGAGTACGGACCCGGGATCAAACATCTGACACCCGAAAAGGGAGTAGGCACGTCTTGACGTGACCCATGGCCACGACGGGCCATACTTGGGAGCTCACGTCGCCGACAGCGTCGAGCAGGCCAACACTGTGCTGCCTAACCCCCCGCACGACTTCCGTCAGGGGTACCTATTGACCATGCTGCCCGCCGGGACGGAATAGGGCGCCACAACCGGTTGACGATGCCCGCGTGTAGCGCTAGTGGCGAACAGGGTCACGACGTGGAGCCATCCTCGTCATCATCTGCATGACTGGCGGGACCCATGTAGGGGGGATGAAGGACGACGCGACCCCAGAGGCCCTCTTCTTCCTCACTTCTCTCTCTCTCTTTCTCTCGTGTAACCTGCGCCTTCCCCTTCACTTATAAAAGGGGAAGCAGGACGCCCCACGGGGGGGGGGACGGATTTCAACTAGACTCAACTCCATTCGATTCTTTCATTAGAGACTTGGGACCTTCTCCCTCTCTCGCCCGTTTGTAACCCCCACTACAAATAAGTGCCAGTAACACGAGCACCCTCAAACTGGACGTAGGGACATTTCGCCCGAACTAGTATAAACCCTTGTGTTCTCCGAGCACACCATCCGAACCAGATGCGCAAACACAAATTTACTAGTCGGTGGTTCAAAATACCGATAGTTGGCACGCCAGGTAGGGGCCTTTTGCGCGTCTCATCGTCCACAACAGGCCATGGATGGCTAGCCACGGCGTCAGCTGGGTCCCGGGCGCGCACGAGCGCTTCGGGAGGCTGGATTTTTCGTCACCATGGAGGGAGAGCTGGCGCAGGCTCCCGCCCCTGTCCAACTTCTTTGCTCCACCGGCCTTGACGCAACCATCGAGGCCCTCGAAGAGCTGCAGCTGCACGCCCTGAAGGCCCGTGCCCTTGGGAGCGACCAGCTCCTCGGCTTCGATTATGGGAGGCTAGAGCGCTAGCTCGACGCCTTACTAAAACCCCGACCGTCCTGGGAGGACCTGCGCTGCCTCACCTTCTTGTTCGCCAACATCGTGACGCAGCTTGCCAGAGGAGAACCGCTCTCCCCAGAATACCCCACCCGGAGCGCCCCGACAGTGTTCCCGTTCGGTCTGCGCAACGCCGCAAGGACCATTGGTCACCTTGTGGCATAGCACATGCACCCATCCCCCATAGATGATGAATTCATGGGTATGATGGACCACATCGCGGAATCTTTCCATGACCTTCTCGTGGGAGATTCAGAGACAATCTTCAACTCTAACTCCAGCAGGGGAAGCCATCACCCCTCGCGAGAATACTTCATGGCGGGCACCCCTGAGGGACACGTCGAAAGCATCCACGAGGGAGGAGCAACTCCTACGGATGACCCCGATGATGAGGTTGAGGGAGATGCGGGGGCCCCGCCTCGCCGACGGGTGGAGCAGCTGAGGGCACGGCACAAGGAGATCAAGGATGCGTGACTCCAGCTGGAGCAGGAGCATGTGGAGCTCGAGCGTGAGATCGAACACCGCGGAGACGGTGGCCGTGCATGCGCCATCGCCAGCGACGTAAACCGAAGGATCATTGAGGACGACGGAGGCCTCTCGCACTTCACCCGGGTAAGCCAGAACATAGCTGTCGCGGTGGCCTTGCTCCGAGGGCTCCCAGAGCCCATGACACCTGAAGACCGTCGGGCCCATCACGAGATCCGCACGCTGCTCGAGCGCTCGGCGGTGCAGCAGGTGGAAAGCTCGCTGTCTCGGCGACGCGAGCTCGATGCTAGTCAGCTTGTGTCTTTGGGACGACATGGTTGGGACATATCCGTCCACCAGGCACCGTGCGATGATGGAGGGCTTGACATGGTCCTGGTGCATGAGCGTCTTGGCCCCAACCGTGACGCATGTAACACCCTGGACGCCCGTAGGCGTGGACGGGGGACAAGAGAGAGAAGGTCGGCCACGGTTACCACCCTCATCATGGCAGAGGCTGCAATAGCGGTGAGGACCGGAGCCTGAGCCCCAATCTTCCAGGGACCTAGGCTTTCGGCTGGCACATCCTCAACGTGGTTTTCCTGTCGTTGTATCGACCATCGACCAACATCCCAAAATACTCTTTGGAAACAAACCCTGACCTGTGGCTCGAGGATTACCGGCTTGCTTGTCAAGATGGTGGTGCGGATAGCAATTACTTTATTATTTGCAACCTCCCCTTGTTCCTTGCCGATTCAGCATGAACATGGTTGGAGCACCTTCCGCCCAACCGAATTCAAAGATAGGTGAACCTGAAGGAGATCTTTGTGGGAAACTTCTAAGGCACCTGCATGCGCCCTGGGAACCCCTGGGATCTGAAGAATTGCCGACAGAAGTTTGGGAAAACTCTCCACGAGTACATCCGACGCATCTCCAGGCAATGCAATGAGTTGCCCGACGTCACCGACGCCGACGTCATCGGAGCCTTCCTGTCCGGGACCACCTGCGAGTCTTTGGTCCACAAGCTAGGACGCAAGGGCCCTCGGACCACCAAGGAGCTCCTCGACATCGTGACCACCCACGCCTCAGGCGATGAGGCGTCAGAGCGATTTTTGACCGCCCCAAGGGCAAAGCGAAGCGAGACGAGGACACCGGTGAGGGCACCTTTAATCGACCAAACAAGAAGAACAAGCAGTGACATGAGGGCTCGCTCATGGCCGCTACTCGAGGGGTTGTGCCTGAACCACGCCTTCCCCGTCAAGCACCTATACAAGGACTACGCACTCATGAAGCGTTTCCTATCCGACGGCTCCAAAAAAGGGGACCAGGGGAAGAAACTTGAGCCAGTGGCGGATGACGTCGAGGGGAAGGATGGCGGTTTCCCAACATCAGATGGCTACCTCATGATCTATGGTGGGGCGGTGGCTTATGACTCCAAGCGCCGCCGAAAGCTCGCGTGTCGCGAGGTCTATGTGGCCGAGCCAGCCATGCCGTCTTTCCTACGGTGGTCGGAGTCTGTCATCACCATTGACTAATCCGACCACCCAGAGAGCATCCCGCAGCCAGGAAGGTACCCGCTCATGGTTGACCCAATCGTCGGCACAAAATGGCTCACCAAGGTGCTGATGGATGGAGACAGCGACCTTAACCTCATGTATGCCGAGACGCTTGATGCCATGGACATCGACCGATCGCGCGTCCGACCGACTAGGGAGCCTTTCCATGACGTCATGCCGAAGAAACAAGCCATACCGCTTGGGCAGATCGACTTGCCCATCACCTTCAGGGACCGTGCTACGTGAAGTTCATGGCCATCCCCAACTACACTTACTTGAAGCTCAAGATGCAAGGCCCGAGTGGGGTCATCACCATCGGCACTCCTTCCAGCGTGC